ACCCTCTCCGAAACCCGATCCGCCAACCAACAGGACCTCCGTCTTGTATTTGATGCGCTTTGTGATTTTAGAGAAAATATTCCCTTAGCAGTAATAAAATATGGCAGGAACTTTTGATGTATGGTCAGCAATCAAATGTCACATGCCTTTAGGGTAATTCCATAAGTAACTGGGAAACTTACAGCATCAGAAATCTGTCTTCCTCCCACTGTATGTATCTTATTATCCCTATTTTCCCCTAAACTTTCTGCTTACTGTAACCTGAAAAGGCGAGTGACTGATTTCTGCTTTTATTGGAGGAAGGGGATTTGTAATTCAACAACATATGAGAAAGCCAGAAAAATTTGGATGCCTTAAGGTCATTGTCTACTTTAAGCCTGGACAGTAAATCAAGGATATTTATTTTACATGGCTTAATAATTTGGGGTATTTTAACCATGCAGCAGAACAAACCCTGCCCTGCTATTGTTAACCCAGTTTCAAAACCTAGTAATGGCTTCATCTTAGTAATCTGAACAGCATAAGGCCCCCAGGAGACATCACACAATGGCACACTTACCATTTACAGTTGAACAGATATACAAGATAATCCTTGAGATTATTCCAGTTCATGTGTCATAGACTATCAAAAGAAACAGTAAAAAGTATAGTAATAGTATCTCTCTTTTTTTGGTTTATTTTTAGACCTCAAATAAATGACATGTAATATATAAAATGTAATTTATAAAATTGCCATCCATTCAGTGAGCTTAGGAAGTGATCTTATGTTGGATGCCTAGCCTTCCAGACTCAGAGACTGATGGGCATCCCTTGCTGGGGGGCGGGAGGGGGGAGGGGGGAGGAGTACGGAGGCTTCTAGCTGCCAGCTTCATAGTGAAATGGAGAAGGTGGAAGCATCACTAGGATACACCATGTTTTTGCAGCTCTGGTCTCCTTCTTCAGAGACGAATGGAAAGAAACTATCAGTATGGCATTAAGAAAGTTCTGAGGGTACTACTGTAGGGCATTTTGGTCACTATTAGGACTCAACACTCTTTGTTCTGAAATTAATCCCTGGAAGGTGTTAAAAGGTCTCCTGAATTTTCCCCCACCCCATACATGGACAGAATAGAGGTGGTTTGGTGGTCAGCAGTTTTCCAGCTCCTTTGGCTTTGCCTAGCATCCCTGTATTTACATCTTTGCAAATGGCCGTGCTTTGTATAGAAAATACAAATTTTCTTGCTATGTATGATTCCAGTTAGCACTATATTATTGCAAAATTACTATTTCCCTATAGCAATAATGCAAGTATGTTTGAGTTTCAGTTTTACGGTATCATAAAAAGTATTCCTACTATGAAGATAAGGAATTAAATTACTGTATTAAGAGTTTTTGACAGTATGATTGTCCAAGAGGTTATTCTGCTAATAACTATTTGAAATGCTAGCATATTAACAGTACAAATTGGAAAAAAGGTTATTTTGAAACCATGTATCTTAATTTTTCCCCCCGCAGATGATATTAAAGTATCGGTAAATGACTTTATTATCAAGGCAACAGCAGTTACCCTCAAAGTAAGTAATCAGCTTTTAACAATGCATTTGTAGATGATGTTTTTCCTTGTTCAGTGATCACTATATCTATGCTAAATTATGCCTTATCTTAACTGAAGAGTAGTGTATTGAATTCTGTTCAACAAAATCAGCTCCCCATTTTCTGTACTTCTTAACTATATGGTGGTCTCAAAGGTAGCTCCTTAGTCTCTCTTTAGACATTTTATCATTGTCATGTTGTGTCTGCTGTTCTTTCTGTACTAGTCAAGCTATTATATCCCTGCTAGGAACATGGCTTAACCACTAAGCTCATTAAGGACATCAGAAGCCACTGTAACTACCAAACAGTAAATTTAAGAAGAAATATTTCCCATAGGTATCATCCTTGCTTTTTTTTACCAGCTGGAACATTAATTGGCAATCTGAACTACACTTTGAAGTAAAGTTTAGAAAATTTCAACATGTTCTAGCATCGCTGGTTCTTGCACCCTTAGAACAGAATTAGGGTAAAGTAATAAAAAAAACAACCCTGAAACATATATGCTAAAATGTTGCTAAACCCTTTCCAAAGGCAATTTCCTGTAAAGCATGTTGTAGCATTTTAATTTGAATGTGATTCAGTGGAGTGATGTAGGGTTTTGTCCTGGATGTCATCCAAGTATGTGAGAGATTCAGACTCTGGGTTCAGTTCTACATCTGTCCAGGATCACCTGTCTATTGTCAGGAAGAAACATCAGGTCATTAGCCCTCATCCAGTTCATTATTGTGCCCATTATCTTTTTCTCTTCTTCTAAGGTTCATAGGAATTAGTTAATACTGTGTTCTTGCTGTGAATATCTTTTTCCTTAGAGGAAGCAAAAAGTATTCTTTTCTAAATTTTACTTTAATTTCTGTTAACATTATTCTAGGCTATCTAGTTCTTCATATCCATCTTATTAAATTCATCTAAATGTATATGTGATTGTTTTATTTAGCCTTCTTGCACATCCATATATCTAATGCATTAAAAAACCTGGACATTAAGTTTGATTTGCTATATTTTTTTTCTTTTTAGCTGTTCATAAAATCTAGGCTGATATTTCTGACACATCAGTGATGCTTATTTTTTGCTTTTATTTGGTATTTTAAAGAATTTAGCTTCACAGCTAGTTCACAAACTAAACTATATATAGAGTAGTAGCAATATTGGTATAGAGGTGCAGTTGCTGACAGAAGGGGTGGCATTTTTTTTCAGTGGCCCTTCTATCAAAATATTTAATTTTGCTGTGCTTGCAATTATCAACTTAAATCTAGGTTGCATGTACATAGCTGGGCCAGAATCCAGCAGGGCGCATCTACCCTTGCTCCGTCATCACTTCTGGTGCATGTGTAGCCACTACTTTTCATGCAGTGTCATTTTAGAGTTTCTGAGGCAACCCAAAAAGTAAGTGCTTCTTTAGATTCTGCTCAGACTTGAAGGCAGTGTCTCTAGATACTGTTTCACCAAAATACAGACCCAAATGTGGAATTGTATGCGCTATTCAATCATCTCTATTCCCTTCTTGACGGCAATAGCATCAGAAATAGTTTGAATCCCAATCTGGAAAGTGGGACTTTGAGTCGAAGTGATGGCTTTAAGAGGAGAAGAGAGGCCATGTGGTGAACCTGCTTCTCTTTCCTGATTTCATTGGAACATATGAATGCTTTCCAATCCTTTCAAGATTTAAAAGTCAGCTTGTGCAGCTACAGGCAGGAACTCTTCAGAAAAAGTCAAAATATAAGTGCATTGGACAAGCATAAGCCAATGTTCAAATGTTTTTGGGATTCCTGAATGCAGGTTGTTAGCATGAAAGTAAAACTTGCTGCATCAGCGGAAATGTGCAACACCCAGTGACTGCAGTAGACACTCTGATGCTCCTTCACCTTTGCACATCAGAGAATGCGCTCTGCAGGCAATCAGTAGAGCCCCACATTATGCACAACAGTATTTTTCATTCTGAAATAGCATAACTCTTCCTTGACACCTGCAGCTTTGATCTCTTTAGTGTATTCTCAAGATAAAGCTCTTGGGACAGCTTTTTATTGTAGAAATAGCATAGACTTCTGCATGTGGCTTTGCTGGATTTAAAATTGAATAATCCAGTGCTTAGGTAATTACTCATTCTCTTTTTCTGAAATAATAGACAGTACCTTGAAGAAATAGTTAAATTTGGTGCTATTTACTCTTTGTAATTTGCTCTATGGGGAAAGTGCTCTTTCATTCCATTTGTCCTACAAATTTATTACTAAATTTATCGAGGAGTCACATGTTGATCATATCTCATTACTCTGTTATTTCAATTCTGTGTCCCATCTTACTACTCTGTATTATGGCGAAACCTTGGGAGAGTTGATATGTGATAGCACCTGTTCTGATTTCATCTGGAATATTCATGATTCTGAATTTGAGAAAGGATATTGTCAGAATATAAGCCGTAGGAAATCAGTTTCTATAAACACATCCCACTGAATGCAAGTATTCTTCTGTTCTGATGAAGCACACAGTCATGGAGGTACGGTGTTATCTTTCCTTCACAGTTAATTTGCTTCCTTCCCAGGCCTCTTTTTCTCTTGAGACTAATTCGATCTGATACACTTTGGGCTGCAATCTAGAAAACCACATTTCTAGGAGAGCTTCTGATTTTGAACATCTGCCTTCATGCCGCATAGCAATCTGCTCTGATTTGTCCTGTTTCTATTTTGCTTTTCTACAGATTGTCACTCAAGGCAGCTTATTATCAAACGCCAGTATACACAATGTCAATAATAATACTGAAGTCATAAAAGCAAATAATCACCAAGACAGCAGGGGGCAAATTGCATACACACACACACACACACACACACACAATTGACACCCATTAAAAACTTAACCAAACAAAAAGACTCCTGGTTTTCTTGAAATTAAGAGCCTAAGAGAGACATCCCTGAGGTATAGTTACAAATCTAGTCTCTGATTTTATTTGAAGCAAACCTTTCTTAAATTTGACCATAAGGCTGATGCAGAAAATGTACCTTAAAATACAGTCAGGTCAGGCTTCAATGTTTTAAAAATCAGAACCTGGTACAACATTTAATTGTGTCCAGAATTAATTGACAGTGAGTAGCTAGCACCAGTGATTAACTTCCAGCTTCATTCATTCACATTTACAGGCTGCCTGTAACTGCCAAAAGGCCTTCCTAGGCAGCTTACAACATATTAAACACATATACCCCTATTAAATCCCTTAAATTTTAAAAACATCAATACAATAACAATATATGTAAAAAAAGGCCACAGCATTCGTAAGGGCTAAGTATTAAACTTTTTTTTAAAGATATGTCTTCACCTGGCACCAAAAAGAAAAGAGAGACAGTGCCAGGTGGATTTCCCTTGGAAGGAGGTTCCAGAGATGGGTAGCAGCAGTGGAAAAGGCACTTTGCCTAATTGCCACCCCTCTCATGTCCCTGAGTTGTGGCTCTCGCAGAAGGGCCTCCTGAGCTGATCTTAGAGGGTGGGAAGGTATATTCGGGTTGTAGAGGGTCCTTTGTCCTCACCACAACCTGCACACATGGCCCTGAGACATGATGAGGTTAGTATAGTGTTAGATTAATCAGATTGCTCTGGGACAAAAAGCAGCTGGGGTAGAAGTCATGTTTGGTCTACTTTCTATTATAGGATAGACCAAGGAATACTTCTCACCTGCTACTCTAATCCATCAGGAGGACTTTGGTACTGTCTAGAATAGGCAAATGCCTGTCTTCCCATTCTTCTAGATCTTTAATGATCGCCATCGTTGCCTAAGAACCCCATCTGATGCTGGATCTGCCAACTATCAAGATCTTTTCTTACATAGATTGATTTTCAGTACTTTAGCCCATCATAGCCTTCAGATACATGCTGTCTTCAATCAAATCTTCCAATTATTTGATTGACTAGGAAAAATGCTATCTCTTGGTGATAATAATCTAATATTCCAATATTAAACCTGTGGGTTAGGGTACTGAAACTAAAGATTTTCAAGCCCACCATTTCCCTTCCCACTGTAACTCCCACAAACTAAAGATTGGGGTCTCTTCCAAGCAGCATTCAGTGTAATCTGAGGAACTGCAGATGAAAGAGAAAATTGGGAGTGTGTATGTAGAGGCATGCTGAAGGCATGCATGGGTTTAACTGGATCATTATGTGGGGTCAATCAGGTAGATATTATAAATTGAGTTCCACATTGAATATACTATTTAGAATGTTCCAGTTTCAAACGAGCTCTCTTAACTTGAGGGTGAATGAGGGTGAATCCTGGTGAGAGAGAGGTGCTGAAGGTGGCTGGGTCATAGGTTTGAGTAATTGGTCAGTTACCTGTCCCATGTGGGGTTGCACTTCCACTGAAGAAACAGGTATGTGACTTGTCACCGGAGGCTCATGTGGCTTTGTTGGCCAGAAGTGGCTTTTAGTACCTTCTGTGGGTTCTTCAGCTACATCTATTTCTAGAACCTAGTACTTTAGACACCATGGTATGAATGTTAACCATAATTAATATTGGGAGCTCCTTGGGTCTGATCTGAAAGTCGCAGCTACTATGCAGCTGACAGACCTCTTTTTGACAGATTTTTCATACCCACGCTAATATAATTGTACTAGCGGCCAGTAAGCTGCTGGGTCAGGTTTAATGTTTTGCAGTTAGGACATAAGGTCAAGCAATTTGGGTCCGGATTCCATTAGTGATTGAGTCCCCCTTTATTTTCCTGCCTGGTCCTTGCAGTCTTCAGAAGGAGTGCTCCCAGCAGTGCCACATGTTCTGGAGGTTTGCTTCAAAAGTAAGAGAACATTTTGGGTTGCCACAGCTCCCCTCTGGAACATGTTCACTATTGACATTAGATGAGCATCTTGAGTTGTAGAGCTCTGCTTAACACCACATCTTCATGCAGGTTTTCCTTGACATGTGATCCAACCAGTATACGTTTATAGTTTTACTCTCTTCCTGTGATTATTTTAGTGTAATTGATGGTTATATTTTATTGGTTATATTTTATAGGTTATATTTCATTGGTTATATTAGCATTGTTAACTGCTTTCCGGTTATATTGTCATTTTCATTGGAAAATGGTATATCAACCTGTGTAATGTAATAATAATAAATAATGAGGAAATTATTGATAAAAGTTGAGAACAAGAAGTCAGAAAAAATAGCAGGAAGTTTTCAAACAAATGAATAGCAACCTTCTGATTGGAATGCTATTATTCGGTTAGAGACTGAAATAAGAACAAGAAAGAACTTTACCTGGATAGATTGTGCTTAATCTGATTGCTTTAAGATTTAGCTACAAAGCTATTATTACTAAATTAACACTCAGATGGTAATTTTAAAATATCATATTTTAATCCTGAAATTAATGAGTTTCAAATTCATCAAATCTTGCATTTGGTTCTAAGACAGATGGTATGGGTGTGAAATATATGATTCCATTTTTTTCCCTCCTGGTGAACGAAGAAGAAACAGCACTTCTCAATGATGGGGGCAGAAGTAATTCAGTAACAACCCAGAAACTCTGTGTGTGTGTGTCAACCCTTCTGACTTTTTACAACTATAAAATTTCTATGTCTGCTGTATATATTCACACTTTGGGACTAATTATGTATGGATGGATGCTAGCTAATAAGATATATCTAGATTTAGATTCATGTGACAAAATTTTATTATTAACCTTGTTTTGCTTAAGGCAAACATTTTCCCATATGTGAATGCCTCCATCACCACCAATTCTGAAGTTCCCTTTTATTTAGTAATTGGTTGCACCATTATTCTTTTAACAGCTGTGCCTTCCTCCATTTCTTCTTCCAGCAAATGCCAGATGTGAATGTGACTTGGGATGGAGAGGGCCCCCGGCAGCTGCAGTCTATAGATATTTCTGTTGCAGTGGCAACAGACCGAGGTCTCATTACACCAATCATAAAAGATGCTGCAGCAAAAGGTATTCAGGAAATTTCTGCTTCTGCAAAGGTAGGTCTCCACATACATGGCATCTTTTAGCACAGAATAGCACTTAGGTATAAAACCAGATGTATGGTTTCCTCCCCAGAAAACACACAATTTCTTTTAGAAATGCTTTAAAGCTGCTTCATTGTTGGATGCAAGACATCTGTGGTAACGTCCCATTCCACAGGAGTTACTGTGTCTTGTTTCCTGGCTTGTATTCAGGGATTTTAAGTAAGGTTAAAGTCAACAAATAGGTTTTGTTTCTTGAGTAAGTTTATCTAAAGTTCCCAAGAGAGGGATTAATTTTGAGTACTGTTGCAGAAATTAGGGACTGTACATTTTATTCCTTTCCTGTTAAGGTAGCTCAGAATTATAATAATTCCCATAGTTTAAACAGGAGCCTGAGGCTGTGATAAAGAAGCTTACCTGTGAACACCTAGTGAGTTCATTGGAGTGGTGGGATTTGAACCAGGTAATTTTCTATTTGTACCTGTTAGCTACTGTGCTGTACTAGCTTCATAAAAACTCAGAGGAAAAAAATAATTAAAAAAACCCTCTCCAGATTCTTGAAGATAGCAGACCCAAATGGAAAGGATTCTATGTTTTGTTTTAGTTGTGGAGAAAGCCTTCAGTCTGGAAGAAGTGTCCGCTTAGGTCCCAATAACTAAATCAGTAAAACAACTTCATACATTGGAAGCTTTGTTCTGTTACCCTGGAAGTATCACTGATTTGGGCAAATTGAGAAAATATAACTGGAGACTTTTAGTTAAGGGCCCATGCTGCTGAACACACTAAAAATCTGACCACTACAGGCTAGCCTAAGAACATAAGGAAAGTCATGGAGGATGAGACTAGTGGTTCATCTTGTCCATCATTCTGTTCACACATAGCAAACCAGCTGCTCACAGGATCCCTTAAGAAGTTCTGCATAGTTCCCCAGCAACTGGTATATGTAAACATACTGCTTCTGATATCAGAGGCATATAGCCATCTAGACTAGCAGCTATTGATAACTTTCTCTTCTATCAATTTGTTCAGTCCCCTTCAAAACTGTCCAAATTCCTGGCTATCATGACTTCTCGTGGCAGTGAAGTCCATACTTAATTATGCAATTTGTTCAGAAGTATTTCGTTTTATTTGTCCCATATCTCCCATCAAGCAGCTTTGTGGGGTGACACTGGGCTCTAGTGTTATAGGAAAGGGAGGAAAATGTCTCCCTATCTTTTTTTCCAAGCACTATGCATAGTTATGAACATCCCTGCTATTTTTCCCCTTACCTTTTCTAAGCTAAACAATCTCATTTGTTGTAACTGTTCCTTAGAGGAGAGTTGCTCCAATCCCTTGATCATTTAGTTGCCCTTCTGTGCACTTTTTCCAACTCTGTCGTATCTTGAACTGTGCACACTCTTCTAAGTGCAGCTGTACCAAAGATTTGTATACGGGGAGTGAATTAAACTTATCATGGAGTTTGTGTAACTCAGAATCTTCTTTTCCTGAACTGCTAGGCACTGGAGTACCAACTGGTTCCATTCATGGTTGTTTGGCTGCTGCCATTCTGTGTTCTGCTACTACAACCACTTTGGTCTCCTATTGACTTTTGGCAATAGTCCTCCTACTTTTCAGAGAATGAGAAACTCCAAACTTTCATTGCTTCCAGACAAGCCCTGATATTTCTTATATATGTTTAGAGACTGAGTGCAGCACTGTTCTGTCTCTTTCTGCCTTGCTTAGCAGAACCTGGCCACGTAGATTGTCTCTTCAGAGATCTCCTGTGACCTGTTACCTATCACAGATCTGCTCACTGAGCATTGCTTACGGAGACTCAATTTCAGGAGCAAGATACTTGACTTTAAAGACAAGTATGTAAGGCAGAACTTTGGAAGATAAGGAGCCACAGGTGAAATTCTAGCTGCAAAAGCTCTTTATAAAGTTGGCAGGGGAAACTGGCTACTTTGGCAGAATTAATTGAAACCCAAATAAGATCTGATCAAATTTAGAACTAAATGTTTTTTATGATATGTTGAAATATTGATACCCATGATTATGGATTACAGATTCGGAACTGGAAGTTCAAGGTATGGAGAGGTTTTGATCTGGTGTGAATTCTAAATTGGATTGGAATGTCATGTAAAAACAATAGTTCTGTAAAATAATGTTTTTACATTTTTAAAATTTCAAATAAAAGTCAATGGAGCTCAGAGATATTAAGCTCTGCATGTTCACCAACGAATGCATCACAAGTATGATGACTTCCTTATTAAATGGTTGAACTTTTTGAAGAACTGGAAAGTGTTATTTTGTTCTGGCATTCATTTTTCCTCTTCACATATTTTTCTCCTATCATAGTACAACATATTTTTTCTTTTCCACTTTGATAAACAATTCATACTGTTGCACTTTTGTATTAAACTTTGTATGTGTTATTTTGACTCAAGAGGACTCTGGTATGTTCATATCCATCATTTATAAAAGGCTATTGGATTAGAATTTAAAGTGTTACAGATTTCTGTTGCTATAGGGCAGAAGCCAAGTCATTTTAACGGTAATACATAGCAGGAAATAGACGTGTATAGTAAGAGAAGTATTAATCTCCAAATACTTACCGGGAAAGTATTTTTTCATAGAGATAATGGATGGATTGCAGAAAACTGAAACTTCCTCTCTAACAATGAGCTCTGATTTTCATATCTTTAGCAGAATTTTAATCCCTTCTTAATACCACTGGGGCATCCTTTACCATTAGATATATTTCTAAAATAAAAAGTACATTAGTCCCACTCTGGTTGTGTACATTTGTCAAGATAAATATTTTGTGTTGATCATAAGTCTGTATGATCCCTCTAAATATTTCCATGACCTGAATATATCGAGAGTCTAAGACTGTTCAATAACACCGTCCAGTTATGCACTAAGATGCTTTGTGCTTTGGCACAGTGGACTGTTAGTACAATAAATCAGTATTTATGTATGTTAGTGTAAATTTGCTTTGCAGTGTTATTTTTTATCAGAGCAGAGGTGAGTAGTAATCGGTATGTGGTTTTCTACATCAAAAGTTCATATTTTGGCAGTCTGTTCAGCATGTCTGAAGCAATTCTGAGGCGAGCAGGTTTTAGCACTGGAGCCATCAGGTCCCCAGACAAACTCTCTAAGGGCATGCAGACAAGTTTTGCACCCTCTGCTGAAGCAAGTGGTACTTTGCAAATCTGGGGAAGCTTTACTGTCTCTACTATGCTTTACTGTCTCTATTCGAAATTCTTTCAACCCCAGGGCCAGATTCCATTTTGGAAAAGCTTGGGTACGGGACTGCTTTCTAGTGGTGGAGAGGGGCAAAGGAAAAAGGTGGCGGGGGGGGGCAGAAAACCTGCAATTAAACCTCATAAAAGGCATTTCAAGTTTTTAGAATTGGAGCAAAACTGCACAAGAGATGGGAAACCACCAAATAATTAGGGATTGGGCACGTGATTTTCTGGGGAACTCTGGAGAATCAGATTGGGAACTCGGGGAGTCTGATTTGACCTCCAGACTTGCAGTTCCACCTCCCTGATGTAGAGATGTCTTTAAAGGACATCCCAGAAGGAGCTGCCCAAACTATTAGCTTGTAGGGTTTTCTTACTTGGAAGACTACTTTTGACTTGGTTTCAGATGCATTGACTACTCACTTGTGGCCCCACTTTTCACTGAGGGAATGCAGCTCTCAACTTTGAAAAGGTTCCCATTCCTATCATAGGAACTACATGGCTCTCTGAAACAGAGACTTGAGGTCTGGAAATTTGGGAGCTTTACCAGGAATTGCACCCTTGCTCCAAGAAAAACTGGTCAGCTGTGAATATATGAAAATGATCATTTTTATGGGTTTTGTTGCTTCCCAAAGGAAATGAATTGACAATGCTTTATCCCCACCTTTCACATTCCAGGACCTACATGTTCCTTTGACATTTAGTTTGAAAACAGTTGGGTGGAATTTCCTAGCAATAACAGGCATTTAGGGCTATTTGTTTAATTTTCCTTAAAAAAATCATTATGTGAATTGCCAACTGACATCATATTTAATGATATCGAAGAAATTGTTCTTGGAGTCCATGGATGGTAGACAGAGCAGTGCTCACTACTGAATAACCAAACGCTTTTCATAGGGCAAAATATTGATCTGGGGTAATTATACAGCATGCTATGGAGATTTAGACTAGCTAATTCATGAATGACCATGGACATTTCTCTGCTACACCCAATACTTCTGTTTCCAAATTGGATGCCTGTCCTAAGAATACTCAAATTTATGAGGCAAACTGTCACCAAGTGCAGCTGCTGTCTAGGATCATTGAGAACTCTTTCCGATATGATCAAGTTCTAAAAGAAATATTTGTAGAAGCAAAATGTGTTTATGAACATCATTTTTATATTTTGGTTTTGAAGGTCACATATTTAAAACTTGTGTTTCCATTTTACTTTCTTAGGCTCTAGCAAAGAAAGCAAGAGATGGAAAGTTGTTACCACAAGAATATCAAGGAGGATCTTTTAGGTATTTAAAAGATATTTTAATTACTAATATTACTAGTACCGAAAGAGATTTTTCTGCAAAATATTTATGTCCTAGTATATTGTCAAGTCTACAAGCAAAGCACTGAACTCGGATTCTCTAAACATTTTATAATTTTAAGGTGCATTCTAGTCAAGTTTAGTATTGTGCCTTTGACTCTTTTCAGATATTCCTATAGATGAGTACATTAGATTTCTTTTTCTCTTGTGGCATGAAGATTTTCTCTGCCTTAGCTTCTCCATACGGGTCCAATAATGCATTTCTAATTTCCATTTCACCCTTCCTGCTGTTTGGCAGGCATCCTGACAGACTAGTTTTTGATTTCTTGTTCAGGTTCCTTGAATCTTTCTGGCTAAAGCTTTGTTTGTAGTTCAGGTTTTTTACAATTATTTTCTAAACTTGAAAAACTGCTTTGGGTGTGTGGAAGGCAACATACAAAGCCACACAGCTAAAATGGCTATGTAAGAGTTATTTTAAGTAGGACCCTGTGTCATTTATACTGGGGTAGGGAATCACTAGCATTGGAATAAGAGATGTTCACAACTAAACTGAGTTGTATTTGTTCTTAATTTCTCTAGCTACCCTGTCATGCCAAAGACCAGTATTGTTTGTAGTTCATGCTATACTGGTGATAGTAGCCTCTGACCTGCTGTCAGAACAGACGCAGAAAGGGAGAGTTCTTCTGAGTTAGTAGGAGCATGGTTGAACTTTAACGAAAATCTTCAGTACATTGTTGTCCTTCAGTGTAGAAATGCTGTTTATTTCCTATCATTTTCCTTGCTTTCTTATTTTCTATACCAAAGATGTTTCTGAATAATCTTACCTGGAAAGAGTATTAGGTGTATGGAGAAATGGCAGCTACTTACTACAAAGGATATTTACAATAATATGCAGGCCTGTCCTACAAAAGCATTAGATGAAATAGGGGTGTCAGCTTTTTTATAGGAATTGTCATGATGATCGAATGGAATAGAAGAGTCTCCTTACCTAGCAGGGAGATGTCATCTGCAGAATATCTAGATTAAGAATTCAGATTTTCCCACTGTTGGTTCAAATATTATCTAGCAAGCAAAGTGTTTTCTATCACTTTGGATTATTCTGATAGAATTTCCCTTGGTTCATTAGAAAGCAGTTGTGCAAAACCAGGCCATAGCAATAGATTCCTATAAACATAGGAGATAGGTTTCTCAAAATGCAAATTAGCCACATAAGTGGCCTGATTGTATCCCAGAGTCTTAAATCCTGTACATTCACAGTCATTTCTAGTGATGAACGGGTTCAAAGTCAGGTCAGAAATCCGTATCAGTTGTTTTTTCCTATCCATGCTATTTTAGAATCTGCAGGAGACTGTGTGACATAATTGCTTTGTTTACTGTCCAGTATGACACCCCAAGGCCACTATCCCAATTAAGTTCTTTATGTGGAGCAGTGGCTGCTTGTCATTCAGTGACCACTGCTTCCAAAGTTGTGGTTTCTCACATGGGATTTTAACCCAGTGCCTGCCATTTCTGTGGGGAACAAGGAGCGAGAGTGAGGGTTGTGTGTCAGGGCAGTGGAATGTAGGTCATTGCAAATGAGTCAAACATGGGAGGAGCTTGAGGGCTGTGTGGCTGCTTTAATGTAGAATCTTCAGTAAAGTCGACTTCTTAAAACATCAAGAGGTCCAGCTAGTGTGCTATAAATACTCCACCTGATGGTGATACGAAAGCTATGTGAAAAGTTACATATAATTCACCTACCTCATCAAGAGGTAGAAACCAACAGTGTTTTCTGTTGTGACATTTGAACATTTTGATTAGGTATTCTAATTACTTGAATGTATATTTAGATGCAAATCTGAGCATTGGTTATGATGTTTAAGGTTGTTACTATTTTCTTCATAGACACTAGTTCTTAGTAATTTCTTACATATCTTTAAAGTGTCTTATTCATATTTATACTAGCATGTCTTTCTCCTCCCCCCACCTTCTCTTCCCCCTTTCCACAACAGCATTTCAAATCTAGGTATGTTTGGAATCAGTAGCTTCATTGCAGTCATAAACCCTCCTCAAGCCTGTATCTTAGCTGTGGGACAAGCTCGAGTAGAGCTTGGAATTGTGGTGGACCAGGATGGAAATGAGAAACTTCAGCAGCAACAGCTTATGACAGTAACACTGTCAAGTGATGGCCGAGTGGTAGATGATGAACTAGCTTCAAAATTTCTAGAAAACTTTAAAGCTAACTTGGAAAATCCTGTCCGCCTTTCCTTGTGCTAAAGTGGTCAAGATTTGGTCCTCATCTTGGCAAAATATGGATATGGAACTACATAAGGAGATAAAAGGAAAGTAAGTATAAAAGATAGGAAGATACATGTAGTGTGAGATGGACAATTAAACTGTTTATTTATTTGAATTAACTTAAAAGACTTCTAGAGATTTACATCTCTTGAATTTTATATGCTGAACTACTATTAAACATATTGAACTATAAAACTGTTTTAGAGCCAATTGCACAATCAACTCTAATATGCAGGTGCTTGTACCAGATGTGGGTATATTGGATAAGCCTGAATGGGTATATCTCTGTGAAAAGTAATAAAAGGGAACAAAACCATCCTTTCCTTCAGGGCTAAACTTCTTTCAGAGTAAGACAAAATTGCTTTTAAGTCTAGTCAGCCTAGGATGTCAGCATGCAATTAGTCTGTGTCAATGCTGCTGCTGTTTAATAGAGAAAGAGAGTGTTCCAGTTAGAACTGGGATCAGCTATGATAATCTGAGAGCTTTGCTTGGAATTCTTTTGATGGTTCTCATATCATAGGTGCAGTGGCTTCCATGATGTTACAATATTTAAGGGATGTAACAAGTATAGTGGGCTGAGACTGAATCATATAGCAAATATAAGTGGATGAAATTTGTATGATTGTTTAATAACAATTCCTTTCACCTGCTTGGAAATGCACACAGTATTAAAAGTGAGCATGAATATCAAAGTTCTTACATCTTGTGTACCTGTAGTTTTTCATTCATTCTTATTATCCTGACCTCTTGACTACCGCCATTATGCTTGTATCATTCTCTCTGACGCTATCATTATTTAGGCAAGTATATTCCATGTAAGAGTTTGAGTGTATCACTTGGTGTAACCTAATTTTCAAACACACTTTATTATGGCACTGGTTGACTTTAAAATATGAAATGTATGGTGCATGAAATGGACTTTCCTTCTTTATCTTCCCTTTGGCCACCCCTCACCTTGTCCCAACATCCTAATCTGGGGACAGCTGGGGACCTTGCCAAATTGGCCTCTGCCCAGTTTTGTAGACCCTCCTTCGCTATGGTATATCTAATTCAGAAGGGTTTATTCCATGCTGTAGACCTTTTTAGGAACCTGGAAAACTGCCATGGGGAATGGGGAAAGATCAGTTGCTTCTGCCAGCCCTGTTCTGTGTACCTAAATCTAGATCTAACCTGGTGTTCTTGGCTGAATTGTCTTCACTATTTTTCTTTCAGAGGATATTCAAACTGAGGGAAACTAGGAGGAGAATGAGACTTGACTGTCTCAGACTATGCTTGACTTCTGTGTTCACTATTCTCAGTAGTATAAGGTTACTCTTGTATATACATTTTATGCAGAGGGTTTTTTTTAAGTCCAAGAAATTGCCATATGATTTTGGATGGAAAGGGAAGCTTTATTCATGACCAGTTGGCATATATTGTGGAATACTTGATCTGTCATGCATTTTACATGAGTATTTAATATAGCTCAAAATTAGTATAAATTCTGTGTACATGTAAAACAAAACATTTGACATGGTAGTTGTTCCTTCCAAATATAATTTGTCATGTGTGACAAATGCACATGTTTTTCCTTGTGCACGATACTAGAGATCTATAAGAATTTTACTCCTATTTGTAAAACCATACAAACATATCTGGAACGTCTACACAGGAATTCAGTAGCCGTAAAGAATTCATAAATTTTGTGTTCATGTTTGAAAGTGTGCACTTTCACAAATATGCAGCCTATCAATATAAGGAGGAAGCCATATGTTCATGATCTAGCATATGTAGAAGAAATGTGCATTTTTGATCAGGCACATTTTCCCTAATCAGGTAGAAAAGATACTCGTCTGTATTCATCTCTCTCTAGTGCTCAGGATAGGCTAAACATGCACATGGTAGGCATGTCTTGAGGGGAGCCTGCTGTAGCCGGGGGTCCCCTCTGACTCACTCTGTTTCTATGTTATAAAAGAATATATACATCACATGCAACAAGCAGCATATGGAATTCATAAAGTTTCATACATAGAAGTGAGAATTAAGTATATGTAGTTCTAGTAGCAAAAGTCAACATAAATTGCAATCCTCTTCCAACTGAACTCAGCATTACTTGATTTTCAAGAGACATAAGATTGTTCTTCTAGTATATGCTATAATTCTAAAAATCCACACAAAACAACAATAATTAATGATAGACTGTCTACAGCCCCCCCCCCAGTTTACACGCTCAGATTCTAATTACAGTGACTTTATCTCGGCTGTCTAACTAGATTACAGTAAGAGTTTTCACTTTATCTTTGTGCAGTCAACATATATACTAGGCAAAAGTAGATTCTTCCTGTCAAGGTGTCCAAATCAGTGATATTTCCACGTGCCCAACCAAGTTACAATCGCATAAGAAGATTGCGAAGTCTTGGACATGTAAAATCACTATCATTAATTCAGCAATAACTATGGATATATATTTTATATATCCATATTTCACTTCTCTGTATTGATGCATTTCCAGAAATCTAGGAAATGTGAAGCATCAGGTTAGTGTTCTAATGTAACCATTTAGATCCCAGGCATATAGATGGTGGATTTAACAGTGTAAAATGTTATTTAACCAAGCTTCTTGCATAGCTATACAACAGAAAGAAAAATGATCAGCACAAGGTTGCCCAACTAATTGTAACCTCACCAACACACACAGGACTTTGAGGCTTTATTATAGACTACTCTAGGTAGAGTCATGACAGAATTCCAGTGTTAGCCCTCCATCTGGATAATATTGAATATTTCTGAAATGAGTGAGTTCTGCATTCCTAAACTGTTGTTTGAAACTAGCTTGATCTGGAGTCAAAAGGACAGTTTCTTAATGAGTGATTAGGATAAGATTTTAAATTACAAATGAGTACAAAACTTGTATACAGGGCAAAATTACCCATTTCCAAACCAAGAATACACACACACTATCTACTGCACTTAGCATTTTGAGAAACATATTTTAATTTGCACTGATCATTTTACTGGTAAATTGCATGGTATCATAAACAGAAATTTGTATAAACCCATGTATTTTGTAGTTCCGTTAACACTGGAATAGAAGTAGAATTCATGTTTGAGACTCATGATTATTTACCCTCTCCCACCCATTCTCTGTGGAAAAAAAACCTTTTGATCTGGATTTTTGCAGATAAAGGGAGCTACTTGGGCACTTAGAACTCCTGCTCACAGAGAACAGGAGTTGAGTGGAGAATTTAGGAAAATTTTCTGCAACTTGGACTGCAAAGAGAACCATCCAAAAAAGTACAAGGACTGCCTGGTTGTAGGATTCAGTCTTTCCTAGAAAGCACATAAGTAAAGATATATAGAGTTTTATGTCACAAGGATTTGCTGGGTGGAGTTTTCCATGCCATTAAGTTGTAAATGAATAAACTAAGTGAAGACCCTAACAAGCTAAAAAAGCAAAGTTTGCTCATTTTGTTTGGCTTGAGTTCAGAACAAACGCTTTCTGATTGAAAATATTAAGATATGAAAGATTACAAAAATGCTTTCATGGCTGAATGTGTAACAGAATAATTCAAATAAAATGAGCTCTAAATTAATGGCTGTTTCATCTGTTATGGGTCTATTGGAGAAAGAGGAACAACTGGTGGATATTGGGATGTGGTAAAAGGTGGCTTCAAACAGGCATTCTGAAGGGTAAATAGGAACTGCATGCCTACATATGTGTCTCATACTTTATGTGATGTTGGAGAGGCATGAAAATTAAATACCCTGACTTGCACAAACACAAGTGCTTTCCAGTAAGACACACCTACAATTAGATGCGACCCTTTGTCTTTGTTTTTGTTCTACATAAAATCAGCTCAAGTGTATGCTTATGAGAAACGTAGAGGTAACAGAGCAGCAGAGATCAGTATTATGAGACAATACATTGGATGGAAATAAACTGAATACAGTTTATTTCCAAAAAAACTATGCTTTCTGTTGCTACAACTTGTTTTCTTTATACCTAAAGACGGGTTACAGAACAAGCCAGGAAATATTTTGTTCTAGAACTGATAAGGCCTGGTGCACACACACAGAATGAGATTATTTATTTTATCTAAGGTTTTTATTTAAGGTTTTTGGAAATAAGATAATGAAATGGAAGAATCTGGAGGTGCTAGAACTCATTATTTTATGGCTCAGAAATCACATTTTATTAACCATTTCCTGCAGAAATAATATGTATTCAGAGAATTAGTTTTGCATTGAATGAGAACTTTTCACCCTGTTGTGCCAGTTGTTTTATTACAAGATGCTGGGTAAAAATAAGATACATAAAAAGTGGCACTTCCCAATTACAATCTGAACTGTTCTCCACTTGGGTTCATCTGGGGATCTATCCTCAGAAAGACAGTCCTTCAAAGAGTCTGAAAAGTTATGTAGCAATGGACAAGTTGCTATATTTTGGTTTCATTTACTGTACAGGTTTATTGTTATTATAAAAGATGGATGTGAACTGCAGGAAAAAACAGATTTCCAGTACAATAGGCTTATTCAGGAAATACCACTGCCTAGATAAGGTTAAAAGCTTTTGGAAGAGAAACTGAAGAAAATGTGCATTTCATTGCTAAAAGCAATTTTTGAAATTTCTGTGTTTTGCTAATGCCAGTTCCATTTTGAATAACAATATATATTTAATTTACCATCATCTTGGTTGTAAATAGAGTTTAGAAAAGGTATACACCACATACAACTTGCTAACGTGATAGTGTAGCAACTAGTCCAATATATTCCACCCTGCAGATAGTTTAACTCTGCTAGTTGAACAGTTGGTGTTTTAACCAATTAAATGTGTATGCTACAATGGCTCATTGAAGTTACTGTTTTGAAGAATTTAAAGCAGCAGAATCATCATTCCATGAAAGTATGGCTTATTAAATAGCTACATTATGCTACATCTTTCACTTCTCCCCTCATCCAATTTTGCAAGATGGAATCTTCCCAGGTGCCTGCCCCTATAAAGGAGGTGGTGGTCAGGCCGGTCCTAAAGAAGGCATCCCTGGATCCAGATAGGTGGCCAACATCCCGTTTTTGAGCAAGGTGTTGGAGTGGGTGGTGGCAGGACAAGTCCAAGCTCTCTTGGATGAGACTGATTATCTGGACCCATTTCAGTCCGGCTTCAGACCCGGGTATGGTACTGAATCTGCCTTGGTCGCCCTGTATGATGTCCTGTGCAGGGAGAGAGACAGGGAGAGTGCATCCCTGTTGGTTCTCCTGGACCTCTCAGCGGCTTTCGATACCATCGACCATAGTATCCTTGGCAGTGCTTCCGCTCCTACCTCGACGGCCGATTCCAGAAGGTGGTGCTGGGGGACTTTAACTCTGCACCATGGCAGCTATGCCATGGAGTACCGCAGGGGTCTATTCTGTCCCCCTTGCTATTCAACATCTACATGAAACCGCTGGGAGAGGCCATCCAGAGGTGTCGGCTGCGGAATCATCAATACGCTGATGATACTCTACCTCTCTTTTTCAACCAATCCAGGTGAGGCAGTGGCTGTACTGAACCGGTGCCTGGCCGAGGTAATGGGCTGGATGAGGGCCTATAAACTGAAGCTCAATCCAGACAAGATGGAGGTCCTGCTGGTGGGTGGTTCAAACTCCTGGGTAGGTGACTTGGATCTTGTCCTGAATGGGGTTGCACTCCCTCTAAAGGACAGGGTCCGCAGCTTGGGAGTGCT